AGCAACTGCCATGTGATTGGTTGATTAGATAATTGCATTAATGAGAAATTGAACAGGTGTTCCTAATAATCCTTTAGGTGAGTGTATGTTTGTTCGATCAAACAGATCAGACACTTTTCCTAATATTCTCTCTCCTCCCAATTCATCTTAGTCGGCCCAAAACTATCCCTCCATCTTCCTTAACTGCTTACCCAGTACTTGGTCGTAGTGATTTATAATGTATTTCTGCCATAGTATTTTTTTTTCTAGAGAAGTGTTGTGATCAATGCATACAGCAGAAGGTGGCGGTAATGGTTCTGGAATGTGACGTTACTGGAATACGGGGGTAGAGGCGGAGAAAGGGATCACAACAGAGGTCTGTCACTGTCATGCACCGTCTTTATTAAAACTTGTTAACCGTGATCATGTCCAGTTATTCAAGTTCGGCCTGATACAACAAAATTGATGACGAGGTTGTTACCCACTAACGAAGGATGATGGCCGCTTCAACTCCGTTTCGCAGTACATTTTTGCCATGTCCTTTTGAGCCATCCCCGCTTTTAGATACATGGCTGAAAAAGTCCCAGAACTACTCGCTGGTTATTGTGACGTCTACGGCGGAATGGCCAGATATATGGAAGCTTGCTCTTCTTCTACATTGCCTACAGACGGAAGGTCAGAGACTCTTTTATACTTTGATATATGGAAGCAGCTATTACGGCTGTAACAGCTCACTCCACCCCGCGTCGGAATGTAGGGGCTGAGCGCCATGCTTTCTGACAGCACGCTCAAACTTCCAGTTAATCAGTGCTGCAGTACGTTTCCACTATAACAGATCTAGCGGCTATGTATGAGTTTGTATCCAATCTAGATGAAATGCTTCAAGATCAATTGGTGGAAAATGTGGCTAACCAGCACATATGAGAGCTCCTACTACTGGAACCAGATTTAACTTTGAACAGAACCATTACGATCGCTACTCAGATCGAAGCAGCTAATGAGCAAAGCCTGTGCACGCTGTATCGGCAGCACCTGCACTTGACTTGCCTGAAGTGCAAATTCTTTACTTGCATGAACATACAGCATCTGACAAAATCCAGTGCACAGTTAATATTAATTCTGCAACAGCCTCAGCACCAGCACTGTGAATTCAGACTCCTCTGTGTCTGTTCTACTAAAATGCCTCTATAACCGACACTTCAATGGAGAACACCTACAGCCTCCCACAGTGAAACACGTGACATACTCCTGTGCTCCTACCCCTGTGTTTGGCTGCTTACCGCTCACGGCGTCCTGGAATGCCACTACGTGCCCCACTTTGCTCTTCATGGTTGAATCCGGTTTTGCCCAGCTGCCACAGTGACCTGTGCATCCGTGCTGTCCGCTGATCTGCTGGTTCCGCCTGCTCTAGGCTGCGTTAAAAGGGTTTGTCCATAAAGTTAAAATCTCTCAGATGTTCCACCGGTCCGCCAGTAGTCACACCGCTTAGCTCTGTCTGTTCGAAGTGCTGTGATTGCAGAGATTCAGTGTCTTGTTACAGTGGGCATACTTGAGAGAGTCAATGCCTCCCCATGGGTCTCCCTATAGCAGTCGATGGCCATCCGTATGTGTGTGGACCTGTATGAGGATGGACAGCTTTCCACTGCCTCACATTGATGAGATGCTCTCTCTGCTGTTGGGAGCGAGAGTGTCCTGAACCATTGATCTGGATAACACTTACTTCTAGTTCAAAGTCGCAATCTGACAGCTTTTATCACTCACGATGGACTGTTCAGATTTTGCTGTGTCCCATATGGACTTGCCTCTACTCCATCCACAATCCAGAAGATGCTGTCCACAATTCTAAAGGGTCTGCTGAATGTTGCTGGACAATGTCATAATTTGGGGACACACGACATGATGAGACTGGACACTAGAAGCTGTTCTACAATGAGAGGCAGGGATTCAGCTGAATATATCCAAATGTCACTTTAACAGGTCCAGCTTGCGCTTTCTTGGACATACAGTGACAGAGAATGGGATCCATCCTGACGAGGATCACACTGCTGCCGTCTTACATGCCCCAGCTCCAACTGATGCAGCCAAGTTAAAAAATTTAGGCCTTTTTATTGTGGTATAACAAATTCACTCCTAAATTTGCTACAGTTGTGGAGCCACTGCGGACTTGCATTCACTAAGACACTGAGTTCAAATGGTCAGAGGCAGCACAGCGCAGTTTCCAAAAGGTAAAAAATGTACTAGTGGACAGTCCAGTTATGGCATCGCTCAACCCAGAGACTGTGGTCTCGACCGATGCTTCTGATTGTGGTCTAGGTGGTGTCCTTACTCAGATTCATCCAGACAACATGGCACGAATTGTTGCATTCACATCCAGCACTCTGACCCCATGGCTATAGTCCATGAACTTTATACTTTTTAATAATATTGCTCTACAAAGAGCAAGTTGAGGGAGGCGTAAAAAGAATTTTAATAAAAAAGTGTCAAAAAAAGAAATGGCGTCCGGGCTGGCTTAAGGACTACATGACACAGTCCTGCAGGTTATTTGCTCTAACAGTTTAATTATATTTTCAGCCAGTTGGAATAATCACTTGCTGCTTTGACATTGTTATTCTGAGAATTGTTGTTGATATTTTGGAAGTATTAACCTTTTCACACTATTTCTGCTGCCATTTCAATTTATACTATACCATGTGCTGTTGCATACTGTCATTTCCATGGGTGGTAATATTTTTAAGTACGGGGGGAATGTGTTGTGTTCTTTGCATACACCAATAGGTGGCGGTAATGACTCTGGAATGTAACGTTGCTGGGATATTGGGTAGAGGAGGAAAAACAGATTATGACAGAGGTCTGTCGCTGTTATGCACCATCATTAGTAAAACTTGTTAACTGTGATCACATCCAGTTATTCATGTTCTGCCTGATAAAACAAGAAGTTGTTGAGGGTGCCAGGAGAAGATTTAAGTCAGAGGCTCGATCATTTGCAAATTTTAGTGAAGTTAGTGAATTTGCATTTGTTTAAAGAAACATCACCCTTCCGATAAAAGCATCTACTAAACAGACAAATAGCAATAACAAGAAGAACAGAAAACCCACACAATGATAATTATATTGATAACGTACCAATAGTAAATGACAAAAATGCCTGTAGTCATGGAAACACGGAATGTTCGTGGCAACCCCACCTTTCACGCAGGAGGAATGTGGGGGTGGCCAGGAGTGGCACCATGCTCATAAACACCAGAGAGGCTCTGTCCGCGGGGAACACTGTGGACACACTCTGCTAGCAGGCTGTAAGTACACCGTCTCTGCTGTATCACTGTGTATCTACCCAGAGCTCAAAGTGCTGCCGGCTTTAAAGGAGAAACCACCATTTTTAATAATCATTTCTAATGTGAGCTGATTTGCATCACTCTGCACCTGGCTTGGCTGTTATGTTTCACTCAATGTATGTTGAGTACAGTGTAGTGTTTAAAGATTGCTTTTCTGTGGTCACTTTGAGTAAAACTACTTTTTGGCCTTTGGGAAATTTATTTAATAAAAAATGGAATTCAGATTTACTGTATTTTACTATCTACAGAATTGGTGCAGTGGTTTCAATTCTGAGTCAGCGTAAGCTCACAATAATGTTTTTAAAAGCAGTGAACAGGCCAAACTGGTTTGACCACGCTGGTGTTCTGTTTCAACCACAAGAGGGCAGCACTCATAAGGTACACTTTAGGGTGGGACGTGTTTGCGGTGGACTTGCAGTTTTCAAACAAACCCCAGCTGTTCCTGTCATACACGTAGGACTCTACACTGATAACTATTGCTTATTATTAAACTTGACAGAAACCAATTTTCGATTGATTATCATCATTATTAAAAATATGTGTACAAAGGATTATAATGGAGGAAACAGGGAAGAAGGAAAAAACAGTGGCTAGGGTTAGCAGTGGTTACCATCTGTCACGCACTGTTACGATCCTGTGTGCTCTAAGAAGCCCGTCATGTTTGTGAGGTAATGACTGCTCTCTCTCTCCCCTTTTCAGCTTTCATATCTGAACATGTCTGGTCATAATCAAGGTATTTCTTAATTGCAGTCAGTTATTATAGTGTTTTCATTTTTTTTGAAAGTTTAGAAATCAGGCCTGTTTCACTTCCTTGCCACTGACCTTGTTTTGCAATCCTGCAGGTGGCTGTCCAGGTGCCCCACCAGGTGGCTATCCAGGTGGCCCACCAGGTGGCTATCCAGGTGGCCCACCAGGTGGCTTTCCAGGTGGCCCACCAGGTGGCTATCCAGGTGCCCCACCAGGTGGCTATCCAGGTGCCCCACCAGGTGGCTATCCAGGTGGCCCACCAGGCGGATGTTCAGGTTTCTCACCAGGCGGCTATCCGGGTCTCCCAACAGGTGGTCCTCCTGCCTCATGCCATCCAGGTGGTGGCCCCTGTGGCCCTCCTCCTCCAGGGGAACATGGGCACCATCACGGTCATGGCCATGATCACGGTCACGGCCACGGTCACGGTCACGGTCATGGTCATGGTCATGGTCATGGTCATGGTCACGGTCACAGTCACGGTCATGGTCATAAGAAACATGGCAAGGTACATCAGGAATTCGACCGTACAGGGATTATAATGCAACAGCAGTAGCCCTGGCAGTGTGTGATGTGTCATGTGATGTGTTTTTCTGTAGCACTGCGGAAGTGGCAGCGACTCAGACTAGACCATAAGAGGAACTCAAGATAACAGATGGGGCTGCTGAACTCAGGGACCATCCACAGAAACTCTTCTGCTTTTAATACTTCTAACCTCTTTGATTTATTACAAAGCCTCTTACTGAACCTAGAAGTGAATTTTACTGTTCTGTCGTTTGTCTTTTACAGGCAACTGTGTTATTGCAGTGGTTGTCAAACTGGTATCAGGCTGATCCACTGAACCTCTTACTTATAGTGATTTATGGGGCTGCTACCATATTGTGATCAGGGCATTACAGTTATTAACAGCTAAACATCATTTAATGGACATCAGGGTTTCTGTTGTGAAGACAAAAATGAAAACTTATCTCAGCTTTATTTGCTTAATGTGTTTTCCTCAAACAAAAGCTTTATGGTTCTTTTTTGACAAAATAAAGAGATTTTGAAAGAAAAATTAATTTTTATTCAATTATTGAAAGTATACAATAAAGCATGTCTCAGACACACCATAGACCCCAATGTTTGATGACAGCTAAAATTATGACAGCCTACAGCAGTACACTTATATGTATTGCGTGTGTTCTTCGCATTTAGACTTAGTATTTTAGTAACCTTAAATGTTTCTTAGCTTGTTATGTTACTATTCGAGAATGTTCAATAAATACAGAAACACTAGCAAGTAATACATACAGGAACAAACACAATGACTGACTGAGGAACAGAATCAGAAAAATATAAAAAAATAACATGACAAGGGACAGATGTGGGTCATTACTAATTACACAGTACTAGATACAGGAACAGGTGAGGGTACAAATGTGGAAGAAAAGTTCCAGTAGGGCTAGGGAGCGGTGCATACTGCATTGCTGTCAGTATCTTAGGCAAGAAGAATGTATATATATGCTGCAGTATGTGCTGACCCTGAAACTAAATGAAAAAATTATCAACAAAGAGAATTTAATAAACATAAGTCCTTTCTTTTCATTTTTGTGGAAAAACAAAGGAGATCACTTTCAACACGATATCTCTGTTCATGCCTGTTTGCTCTCAGCATTTTCATAAAGGCAAGTAATTTGTTTAAGTAATATTACTGAATATGCATTTTTTGTCTTCTAAAGTTGGTATTTTCACATTGGTTAACGGTTAACCAATGTGAAAATACCAACTTTAGAAGACAAAAAAATGCATATTCAGTAATATTACTTAAACAAATTACCGTTAACCTACGCTAGCAAGTGCATTGTTAGTGCACGTATGTGTATATTCGCGCGCATGGATTATAAGCCACAATGCTGGATAAGTTTGTCACTGTGTGCTGTGCCCTGACAAACCAATGCCCAACTATAGTTTAAATTTAGAAACATTTGCAAGTGCGGTTTCTAACGTTTCACATGATGTCTGGGAGGATCTCAGCCTGTATTCTGCTAGTCACGTAACTTTATTGGTCATATTTAAAATAAAATATATGTCCATGCAACGACATTTTTGTGGTGTTCTTGACTCATTTCCTTTCTTAAACACCTAAATTACTAGTGTGTTTTGGTAGTGAAAATTATTTATTACTGGTTGCATAAAATATTACATTTTTGTGGAAAAAACACCGAATATGAAATATTAAGTTTGTTAACCAAATGTGTTTACATCCGCGATACACTCAAAATGGCGAATGGGGGCTTGTCACAGTGCAGACACGTGACTGACAGACCGATTTCTTGTCCTGTCGCTTCACCTCTGTTCCCAAGTCTGAAGGTAAGAGACTACAACGATTCACCATGGAACCTCTACTTCATTTACAATAACCCCCTAATATATGAAACAAATAAATGACCTTTCATGTCTGTTTTTGTACGCTATACCATTTTGTAGTTCCAAACCAGGAATCTCCAACTTTTTTCACAGTACGACCTTCTTTTCCAAAGAATGTCATATACAAAGAGAATCATCTTCCACCTTTTGTTCCACCATTAAATACTAAATTGTGAATAGCAGGGTTTTGAACTGTTTTTCTGTTCTTCCAAAAATCACCACACCACGGACATCTCATTTTGTCCAGTAGATGGCGAACTCTCCAATCTCTGTGACGCAATCCCGTGTGCGTCCTGACATATACACGTGTGCGTAATGACGCTCATACACGCCCCCTGACGTACTGAGAGCGGCCGGCGGCGCAGTCTAATTTGTGCTGTTCAAATGAAAGTTCATTACTAAATAAAGAAATCGCTAAATAAACTCGAAGTACCATCACAATGTCAGTAACGATTCTGAAGTGTAGCAGGTAGGTGTGTAGTCCCAGTGAAGCTCTACTATCGATACTTAAGAATGACCTACGTGTCACGTCGTAAGCAGAGTGATTCTTTTAAAATATTGTTATGCATTTCAGCTGCTCAGGGAGGCAGCATGCAAAATTAGTTATGTCTATTCTATTTCTGCATGAACAGTGTCTCTGCATGTGTTGAAACATCGCGTCTGAGATTTTTGCAATGCACATCATGCATGTCCAGTTGATATGACGTTAAGTGGATATTTGTGAATTTCACTAAATGCGCTTTCTCATTTATATATTATTGATTTCCGTTATTTTATAATGACATACAGTATTTCATGTCTGTTGTTCGGTTATTTTTATTTATTGACAACTCTTTTCTAGATTAAGATCAGTGTTCAGATTGCGAACGTTACAGCATCATCTGGTAAGACCCCTTCCAACATAAAGCGGATGCAGATACTGGTTCAAATGCAGTTTGCTCCTCTTTACGTTTTCAGACGAAGCTTAGGCTCTCTTTTGTATTACTTTAATATAATTTTTGGGACTGGGGTTGTAACAAGGTGTGAATTTGTTTAGCCTTCAACGTAGTAGTTGATAGTACAGCCATGTGTAAAGCAAAGTAATTCAGTTATGCTAACTATGCTTCTAGAGGAATATTGAAGAGGTTGGCAGAAGCTTTTGTGCTGTTTGCAGTATGCAGTGTCATCGTCATACTTGAATAGATTTCAGTAATATGATAGCTGGCTTACCTTTGTCACCTGTGACATTAAACTTCAAATGGCTGTCATCTGCTGGTTTATTTTATGAGCGATGAAAACTGTCAATGTCTAACTGTGGTGTAAATGGTTCCTCATGACCCATTGGCTCATGCTGCCCCCATGATCATCATAGATGTCCAGTCAGGCCGGATCCGAGGTCCTTTTCGAGCGAGTCGGCTCCGCCGGCGTGATAACCCTGAACAGGTCCAAGGCCCTGAACGCCCTCAACCTGTCCATGATCAGGCACCTATACCCACAGCTGAAGGTGAGCCAGGAGACCCGGCCCTGGTCCAGCAGGTTCCTCCTCCGATCGGTTGTCCGTCTCATCTGCCTTCCTGATTGAGCTTTTCTGGTTTGTTTCTGCACAGAATTGGGAGAAGGACTCGGAAACCGACCTCGTGGTTATTAAAGGGGCTGGAGAAAAAGCCTTTTGTGCTGGTGGAGACATCAGAGGTAAAATTTCACTTGGAGTTTATCAAGACAAGTTGTGTTGGCTTATTGGTGCAGGTCCTATATGTTACTTTTTAAATAAATTTTTGTGTCCTGATAGATGTTGTCCTCAGTGTAATAAAGTGGGCTGATTGTGTCCCCCCCACCAGCGGTCACTGAAGCAGGCAAATCTGGAGACAGCCTTGCCCAGGACTTCTTCCGTGAGGAATACATATTAAACAACACTATCGGTGGGTGGTGATCCATTTCACTCTATGCTGCTTGTTGTTGGATCCTCTCATCCATACTGCTCCCATTTATCCTTTAGCTCCATGTATCCCAACCCAGTCCTCGGGGGCCCCCAGAACATCAACCAGCTCACGTATGACTTGTTGAAATGGACTGAAAATGATTCGCCTTTAACTTGAGTTGTGGTAGAAGTCTCGTTGTAGCTAGTTTTATCCGGCAGTCTGAATTACTTGAATTAATTTTTCAAAATCAGTTATCATTTTTGCATCCCGCCCAGCTCCCTGCCAGACAGTGCACACTTTTGCTCCCTACCAGAAGCAAAAGCATGGACTGTCTGATCCCTGAGGACCGGGTCGAGAATCACTGATTTAAGGCAGTATATAAACACTGCCAGAAGGGGTTTTTTAAGGAGTAGGACTACTGTACTGCCTGAGACGTAACTTTAAAGTCTGCAATTTGATGTTGGGAAGAACTAATAATTTATTTTGAATTAATCCATATTTTTTCCCTTTAAAGGAACATACCAGAAACCATATGTTGCCTTGATTGATGGGATAACAATGGGAGGTGTAAGTATCTTTGCAGTTTACATAATCCTTTCTGGAACGTTAATTTTGAATCTTAAGCTCAAATGTTGATGCCTTTTATATGTGAATTTTTAGCTTTTTGCCATTGATGCCATAAAACGGTGGTTTCCTGTGATTAGTTTTTGAGCTGGAATAGTCCAGTCAAATTTTGGGTTATGCTGGGTGTTAAGTTGTAGGTCTAATGCTGTAACGGACCGATTCAACCACTAGATATGCCTGAGGCCTTTTCAAACACTTTATTTATTGCATTTTTCCAGATTTCCAGCAGATGGCAGCATCGAGCTTTGCATTATTGGCTTTCGTTCCATTTGTGAATTAATATCCAAGATGGCTTTTTATTGGTTAGTTGATACAATGACATGAGCAAAACATGCTGACATCACTGTTTTTTTGGTTTTTTGGTTTTTTGTTGTCATTTGCCAGGGGCGGTCAGATAAAGGGGAAGTCTCAAACAGTATATAGAATTTTCTTGCATGTTTTTTGAGGTAACAGTTCTCAAGTATCAAGTTTATTGTTATATGCACTTTACATGAAGATACTTACATTTCCCCTGCAAGCTGTCAGTTAATAATACATTTAAGAATTTCAGTGTAGAGCAGCCACAGACAATAAGGATAACAGAGACAAATCATATGGACAATAAATAACACAAACCAATAAATATCACAAATGACACAAGGCATGAAATCACAAAACAAGTAGTAAATGAGTGGTGGTGACACAGTGTAACACAGTGATTGTACTGTAGTGTTACTGCAGTTCTGTCAGTCATTAATCATACTAATCATGCTCTTAGACAAGAAAATGTCACATGATCACTCGTGGTGCAGTCAGGTGTTAGAATATACAGTAAAACAGCAGCAGGACGTGGCCGGTAAATGTGGGATGGCCAGGTGGCTCAGCGCCCAGGCTGTGTCATCCATGGTCATCTGGCCTTCTGTCCATCCGCAGAGTTGGGGTGGGATGCCCAAAAAAAGGGGTAGCCTGAGAAGATCCCCCTGAATGCTGGTCCAGGCCAGCCCGTGTGATACATGACGTGTCCTGGTGCCGACCCGCCCAACGCCATGTCCCCGGCATCTAGCTAAAGCTGATTGGACTTTGGAAGCCGTTATCGCACCTGCTGTGGATAACATTCCTAGATAGTAGAGAGCTGGGCCCGTGCGGTGTGTCTTACGTCAGTGCCCCGTGTGCCCGCCCAGGTCTGTTGAAGCGGGAATGACGTTTTCTGACAAGCTGGCGAGGCTGACGATTTCTTGCTTAACTTTGCTGGTCTGTGCTGCTTTTTGGGAGAGAGCCTATGTGGAGCGTGGCCTCCCCTGGGTCTGCGAGCGGCCCGATCCTCACACGTCCTGTGGGCTCCTTCCGTATCTTTCCCCCGCATCCCCGTGTCTTTCTCAGCCTTTCCCTCTATCTTTGTTAGGCCGAGGCCTTCGTCGTGAGCCTGGCCGCTGGCCCCGTCCTTCAGATGATAAGCGTGCGAGGCCGAGCAGTGCTTTGCTTAATGCCGGGTTTATACATAATTCATGGGAGAAGATAATTACCACTGACTTGTTTGCTAAACAAGGGTTCAAGACGAGGGTGTTCTGCCGCAGGGAGAGTATGGTGAGCCCCACCCCCCCACCCCCAGTGCTTAAATGTAATTCTGGCTGCCAGATGAATACCTGTGTCAGGTCAGACCCATCCCTGCTGGGTTATGGGGGGGACTTTGATTCCTAGATCCTCTAAACCTTAATTATCGCTTAATTGTTCATGTCTTGCTGACCACCACTCCATACAATGTTTCCATCACTGGTAAGGATGAATCTGTGTGAGGGGTGGTGTATGGCTCAGTGGGTTAGGATGCTGTGTCTGTGATTAGAAGGTCACCAGTTTCGAATCCCAGGTTCAGCAGAGTGATGTCACTGTTAGGTCCTTAAGCAAGTCCTTCAACCCCCAGTTGCTCTGGGGACTGGCTGATCCTGTCTTCTCAATCGCACATCACTTTGGATAAAACATCTGCTAAATAAATGTATTTGGTTAAAGTTAGAGAGCTGCCGCCCCCCCCCCCCCCCCCCCCCCCCCCATGCACACTTGTACATGAATTTTATTGTAAGGTTCATTTTCTCCGGTGCTGGAAAAAGGGGTGAACCTGCATGGGCAAAATTCATCAATCACTATTCAGAGACAGAAGCTTTGAGGGTAGCAGAGCCATTGCTGGTGCTTCAACATATTTTGGCTCCAGCCTCACATTTCCCTTAGATTACACAGAGCCTCAAATAAATCTCCTTCAATTTGTTTCAGTCTGATGGACTCTCTAATCCAAATGCACTTGTGGCTTAAAAATACAGGCCTTCCCATTTAAAAAGCTTGATATTTATGGAGGCAATTCAGGCTTAATATTTAGCTGACTTTTTTTAAGAGTTGACTGTGAATCATTTACAGTTACCTGTAAAAACATTAAAACCGTCTGAAGATTGAGCTGACTTAAACGCATGTATCTGGAATTAGTTTCAGATGAATTTGCTTTCGATCTTTGCTAAAGAGAGCTTGCACGTACGTCTTGCTTGATATTTGATATGCATTTACAAATGGCAGGAGATGATTAAGAGATGCATTTGAATGGTATTTCAGCCCCATCTGGGTTTTGAGTATAATTTCCTTAACCACAAAACCACCCGTTGCTCATTTGAGATAGCAATCAGTGATTAATGACGAAGCTTATGACATAAACATGTAGAAGGTCCTTAGTAACATCTCCTAAGATCCTAATGGAGGTCAGTGATGGTACGGTTGTTCCAGAGCACTTCACAGGAAGCATCTAAGGAAACATTGGAACCACAATCCACATTCGACTGTTGATAATTTGGAAGATCTTCCCGAAGCCAGATGCTACATTTATCGTGCTGGCCGTGAGATGAATGTGCCTTGTAGCGCAGTTAGCATAAATGCCGGGCCTGATCTGCTTTCGGTGGAATAGATGCTAACACGCTTTCGGGAATCTGGCCCAGCTGCTGGCTCTTGGCATTCGCTTCCTCGGAGAGATGGTCATTTCCTCGTAAGGCCTCGTAAGCGTGCTTGACACCTGCCTGCTTCAGGAGTCACATCAGGGCTCCAGATGAACAGAGACGATGGACAGGGTGGAGAAGCAGGCTGGCTCTGTATAGGAAAGATTCAGATAGATTCAGAAAGATTCAGAAGGCTGGGTCAGACAGTCCCTAGAGTAGTTGGGGGTTAAGGGCCTTGCGTGATAGGTACTACGGTAGAAACACTCACCAACCCTGGGATTTGAACCAGTGACCTTCCGATTACAGATACAGCTGAGCCGAACATCACCCATGATACAACCCACAGGATACATGAGGATCAGGCAGCTTCAACGCAGCCATTCTATGGTGATAAATATCTTTGGGAGACGATGACATGAAGGACATTCCCCCCCATTAATAACAAGGTTATCCAAGCGTTCTGCGGTTATCAGACAAGAGGGCAGGGAGCCAAGGTCAAAGTAAAAGCTGTAAGTGACTTGGTGACTTTACACTCTGCCCTGATTTGAGTTGCAGCTTCCCAGACTGAACAGCTAGTTTAAAAATAAGTGGTGATGAGTCATCTGGTAAAATTAAGGGTTTACTTATTACTTAAGCCATAGCCACAGAGAACAGAATAGCTTGTAGTTCAGTCATTGCACTAATCCTGTCATACCCATGTCAGTATTGTTTAAAATTCACCTTGCAACTGATTGTGTGTTTGTATGTTTTGTGGGGTAATTGGTATTTAAAACTTGACATGAGTCGCAATTTTTTTTTACAGAATAACAATTGAATAATAAGTGTGTTATGATTTTATTTTTAGGAATATTTTATGATTATTTGTGTTTCATTCCATGCCCTGGTTTGTGCTGAAGGGGCGTCCCAGTGGGGATGAATGTTGAAAATTTGAGTTTTGTGTTTTTCTGTTGCTAAAATTTTCCCCTTCATGTCTCCAAGGCACTGGATCTCCACCGCTTATTATAAATGTACACATGTATTTCCAGTGATTATCATACCTTAATGTTAGTGATTGACAAACACAGCTGTGCTCCCTGCTGTTCTTCTTATGTAACTCCAGCGATAACGAATGGGCAGTGAAATATGGCCTGTCCTTTACTTTCCGATAAGTATCCTCCATCCCTCAGCCTGGAATTCCCTTTTCCGCTTGCGTCTCTTGGATGGGTCCTTGGCATGTCACGGTGTCCAATATTCTGCTTTAGACGAGCTCACGCTTCAGGCATCTTATTTTCCATGCAGGAAAATCTTTACAGGTTACTAAATATCTTGCAGAGTTTTCATAGCTTTAACCAGATTGTGCAACATGAAGAATTTTATTGGGACTCATTAAAATGTTTCCCTAAATTAGACTAAGGAACTTCTCCGTGGATTAAACAGTGACTATTAAGTGAACCGCTGTGCTTGGCATACGTCTGACATCCTGCTGAATCTGGTGTTCAGTTCTTCGGTGTACACACGTCTTCTCCACCCTTCTCCTCTTCATGGTGTCTGAAGACAAACTGAGCATGTGGCTCTTCTGTCACTCCTGCTATGTCTTTGTAATATAGTGTCAAAGCCAAGGAAGATTTCTTGAAGCGACCTTTAACCTTTTGCTGGCTTTGGTTTGGCTTTCACTGTACTAGCTACCAAAAAGTAATGTATTTTCTTATTATATTATTATGTAAATTGAAGATCAGAACTGAAATATGTCTGTCATCCACTGTTTAAGAGTGGGTGCAGTCGACGCTCATGTCTGTGTTATCCCGTATCCGTGTTTGAAATGATGTGGTGGGATATCCCCAAGGTGACCTCAGAGAACACTCCCAGGGCTGCAAAGGAGTGAGCGGAGTTTGGCCCCCGCCACTTAACCCTGATACCAGAGCTGGTCAGGGAAAGAGAGAAGCGTCATGGCAGGAAATCTTTGTTCGTCGCTACAAGGGAAAAACGTCCTTTTTTCTGAAGTACATTGACCTTTACATGTATCGACATAATCATTGGTTGGTAGCACTTTACATGAACTGCACCTTCATAATGTATTTATAATTCATTCATAGAATATGCAGTACGCTTTCATAATACATTCATAGAACATTCATAAGCAGCATGTAAGTATACCTTAACATCCTAACATACTTTAACAGCCGCGGAACACATTAATAACAAACATTTTAATCATATAATCATAAATGATTATACCTAACCTGTCAAGGTATGTTAGGATATTAATTAAGGCATACTTAAATGCTTCTTATGAATGTTCTCTGAATGCATAATGAATGCATTATGACATTGCAGTTAATGTAAAGCATTGGTTTGACGTGACAGTAGTATAGATGTTTTATAATGCTAACGATGGATCCATACTCAGGTCTTCTCACATCCCAGCTTGGAAATCATCCAGGCACCTCTGACCTTCCTTACCGTTTTTCAGCAGGCTGGCACCTAAAGTGTCTGATGTCACTCGTCTTAATTAAGTCGTTCCATCCGTGATCCGTTCCTGCATCCCTGCTTGGAAAGCAGAGATTAATCTTTAGCATGTGTCCTACATGCCTGGCGCAGCTACAAAGGTATTATTCGTGCGCTCTCCTTCAGGAATGGAGATTCTCCCCACAATCCTCTGCCTAGCAGCTTTTTTCTTCCTTCATTGCAGTGGTTTCCATCAAGGGTGACCTTCACGTTCTCCTTATTTATTGGCCTCTCTGTCGTTGTTTGCTTTAAGCGTTTCACTGAAGTTTCCCTGGTACTATAACTGGTTATATTTGGTTACATTTAACTCCCTACTACACTGGACTGGGCCTTTGTGGAAGGCTCTGATCGGCTGTAAACTCCCCTGTGATGCTACCCTGTGTATGAAGTTAACCCTGTGTTGCTAAGGGAAGTTTTGGCTCTGCAGAGAGCATGTTTCACCAGTTGTGCTGTGGCTAATACTTGTATCTTAGGAAGGGCCGGGAATCCTTGTTTAGTATTCTTGGTGGTTTTTATTTGGTCTGTTCCTACTTATACCTGCAACAGGACAGTATCCAAGCTATGGGACTAGAACCAGTCCAACAGTCCTTAAACGTCTTTTCTCCTGTGTGTTTTTTTTTTTTTACTATAAATGCAAGAAAAAGCAAAATGCAACATATTCTGTCAACAGATATATGTACAGTGGTATTTCGGTCCTCAACCTCATTAGAACTCGAATTTCTTAAAAGTCGAACCAACCAGTTCGAAAAAATTTTACCTAGAGCTCGATCTGAATCTCAGAAGAGGACCATAAACTCCGACCTAAGATAACTTGTATGCGTGGGGAAATGAGTCACGCGGCACGTCTCTCAGCGGAAACAAAGGGTAACGCTTCAGTCTCAGCCTCGCATTCGCTGTGATAGCATCGTGCATCTTTACACTAGCTGAATACATATATTTAGACAGTAAAAATACATTTAGACAATGATAGACAGTAACAGTAATTATTATTATATAATAAAATACATTTAAAAATAAAGATTTCTTATTAATTATTGTAATATTAATAATAAACCATTCATACATTTAATTATAATAATATTGTTGTGCCGAGCGGAGACGGAACGGAGACAAAGGCGCAGACGTCAGGGTATCGGGGAATACGGGGTTTAATTACAGGTAAGGCAGGCAAAACGCAGACGGACAATACAATGACCGGACTGGAGAAACAAACTGAAACGCGGACTAAATACAGAGGACTAATGACAACAGCCTGAAACAACTGATCACATGGGAATTCCACACGGGGTTAACGAGGGGGCGTGGCACGCGGAAGGAGTGGACGATCGGGGCAGGACACATTGTTTTTTTTTAACTTTACACATTGCAGGGATACATTTATTTTCTTACTTTACAAATTACTGTTTTGATAAATGTGCTTCGATGTGTTTAGTACAGTATATGCTCTTCTTGTTTTATCTGGTTCATTTTATGTTTAAATGCTAAAAAAAAAAAAACACATTTAGGTGTAATTTTTTGGGGCCGGGAACCAATTAATTAATTGGTTTTCCATTATTTCTTATGGGGAAAATTCGATCACAACTCGAACTTTTTAGGATTCAATCCGGAGTTCTGAACGGATTAAATTCGAGTTCTGAGGTACCACTGTATATCTTTCTGTTGTTTACATTGTATTTTGAGGCCCTGCTAATGTAAAAGCATTACTGGCTTGATAAATAAGTTCGGTATTGAATATCAGTTATACCCAAGGGCGGGCATGATGAGTAATACATAATCATAGGGGTGACCCTCTCTGGTGTCTTTGGAAGGCGTAATCTTACCCAGTGGCGAGGACGCGAAGGCTGTATGGCCCCATGCAGCCCATTGATCGACACTGATGACATGTTCCCGCTGCAGGGTGTTGGCCTCTCCGTCCACGGACGCTTTCGGGTGGCCACAGAAAAGACCCTATTTGCCATGCCGGAAACTGCTATTGGTAAGCAAAGTCGACACCATCCCACTGACTCACAGCTAGTGACATGCAAAAAAAAAATACCTTTGTCTTATATGATCAGGTGACCATGTCTTTTTGGCACAGTTCTGACATTAGCCAGTTCATGCATATGTCTTTGTGTTTGCACGTATCACTTATTAATAATTGTTGTTAATGTGAAGACTTGGCATTAAAAAAGTGTTTACTCAGCTTAACTGAAAGTTCTAGCCAACCTCAGTCATTTTGAGGGTCATCACTGTCTCAGCAAACGTCTGCTAGCAGCTGTGAGCCTGCAGCCACCAGCCTTAGAATAAAAATAAATCCAGTTTAGTTCAGCTGAATGTTTGTTCACGGGTAAACGGGGCATCTGACGTGTGATCCTGTGCTTCCCAACCAACCTGGAGTAGCACCTCTGCCTTCCAGCGAGCACCGGGGGGGGACGTGGGCAAAAACACACTCTTCTTCTTGATTAATGTGAAACCACGGTTACTTGCGTTAGCGCATCCAGCGGCAGGGAAGCACATCAGAGAGGCGTGTTGCGGGTAGCGAAACGCCGTCCATTTGGAAGGAGTTCCAGGGGCGCGACGGGAATCTCGGGAAGGAATGCTGGCTACGTGCCAGCAGCGGCTGACCTGGAGCCTGGGAGCCATCCAGCTGAGCTGCCCGTCCTTTACGCTCATCGGGCCTGTACTCACTTCCTGTCTGCTCTCATAAGGTCATGCTTCACCTTTGGTCCGTTGCCCTTGTTTACTGAGACATCCTGTGTGCAGGGAGAACGTAGCTTCATGGTGCAAAAGTGCTTCCATAATAAAGCCATATTATTGTACTGTATATAAGCACAGGAGACGTTTTGCATTGTTTATGTTTGTTTATATTGAATCTACTTCCATATATATAGATTGGGGAAAAAAGTACATTAATTAAAACTGTGAAAAAACACAAAGTTTGTAAAAAAAAATTTAGAGTATATCACACGTGATACAGATGCATTGGGCTAATGTGGAATTATAGCACAGAAGTAACTTTTGTTTTTGGTCTGCTGTCACTGTTAATCTAGCATAGAGGTACTTTTTGTTATCGTTCTACTGATGTTATTCTAGCATGAAGGTAAGTTATATGTTATTGGTGTGCTATCATTGCTAATCGAGCACTGAGAGAGCTTTTTGTTATTGGTGTGCTATCATTGCTAATCGAGCACTGAGAGAGCTTTT